GTACGTATGTATGTATGCACGTATGTATGTAGGCGTGTGTGTGAATCAGCTATGTACTATTCGTAGCAATAGTAATAGATGATATAAGAATACTAATCGTATTGGTCTCTAATCTCTATATTTTTATCATTCCAAAACAAAGTTGATATCATAGCCAATGAGTTCAGCTTTTCCAGAATAATTTGCCCCCTGAAGTCTGGCTGCTAAGTTGGTTGATTTCAAAGTGTCATAAACCAGTATATTGGCAAAGTAGTTGCCATTTATCTACGATTATATCGGATAAGAGCAATATCACTTTCAATTACTCAACTAGTTGACTGATTCTATAATTCGAATTCCACAATACGCTGCTGACTTGACCGACTGTTTACCAAAAGAATCTCTAGTTGACTCTCATAGTACCTAATGGCATAGATAAGAGTATCAAATCACTGAATATCTGAAAGTGTGTTGTAACTCATTGTGGATACGGGATGGTTTATTGCGGATTCGGACAGATGGTCTATAGTGACTATAGTGACCCCAGGGCATCACAGATGCGCCTTCGTAAGTTATTTCTTTCTTGTTCTGGTTAGTGCTTGTTCCTAGTCATATGGCGAAGAAAGTATCACAGTAACTTGCATAGTTTTTGGCAATCGTTGTAGTCGCTATCGTAGTCTTGGGCGATTTTTGTAGTATTTTTCATTTCTATGTACACATGTTTGGTTGTTGCCCTCTCCTGGCGCTCGGTTTGTTGTTGCCAGTCGTAGTTTGTAGTTCGAGTGCCAGGAGAGTACAGGCGGATATATGTTTTAGCTTGGCAGGATTACACAAGCTCTGCCTTGACTACTGAAGCAAGGATTGAGGACGTCGATCCGGCTTCGTAGTCGACAGGACGGCGAATGTTCTTGCAACGGTTCATGATCACTCGTTGCATACTGCTGTTGAAGGCTACCGCACCTTTAGATGACAGCGTGATGTCGCTTGAGCCGGCCACATTCATGGGCTTTGGCAAAGTGGCGGAACGAATGTTGGATGGAGTCGGAACGGATTCAGCCATTCTGTAGATTGAAAATAGATATTTAAATATGTTAAATCTTTGACTATGGTTAACGAACGGCAAGCAGTGCAATTCAGCAACTAAAGTGTAAATAGCTTCAAAGTATTATTTGAAAGTGAAAAAACATACCGGAGCTTCTTCGCGGGATTGCTGTTTGAGTTCTGATACCCCATGTGCTGTCCAGTAGAGGGACTGTAGGACATGCGAGAGGCAGAGCGCTTCAAGCCAGAAGATTGGTCGATCTTTCGTTTCAAAGTCACAGGAGGCTTCTCAGTGGCCGATGCACTAACCTTGGCCAGTGGTCTAGCGCTCTGTCCGGTCATGCCTTGAGTTTGTGCCTGAGCGTGTCCCTGCTGGATTTGATTGTTGCCCAAGTCTCGCTGCGGGTGCTGTGCAGTGATAATCTGCTGCTGGTGCTGCATCTTGGGGTTGTAAATATGCGATTGCTGGATGGGTGCAAGAGGCCCCAAGGTATTCAGGTTGGGTCGGATCTGGACGACACATGGGCGAACACCTTGTTCCAATTGCTTGCATCGACGAGGCTTGCGGCGACGGATGGTTTGACTCTTGAGGTACTTGGGTCGCGTGCAGTTATTGACACGCTCGTATAGGCCACAAGCATTGCAAACAACCTGGCCAGCAGAGTTGTTGCGCCACATGGTGGTGGTGGTTGTCTCGCAGTTGGCGCAGGCTACGGGTGTCGTAGAATCAGCCTTCTGTCCCTGTGTAGACCCCGCTTTAGAGTTACCAGTAGGGTTGGTAGATGTAGAGTTCAGAACACTACCAGATACTGCGCGCTTAACCGCACTTTCTCCGAGTTTGGAAGGAATTTTGGTTTGATGTGGTTGCTCTATTTTACTGGCATTCTTAGCAAGCTGGGCTTGTGCTTTGTTTGCAGTGGTAGCCTTTGAAGGCCGCTTTGTCTTTTTCACTACTCCCGTAGAACCGCAAGATGAGACACTATCGGATGATCTGGCTCTGATCTGAGGCGTAGGGTTACCGGTAGAAGTCGCATTTGCGACTTGTGGAGTTGTGTCGGATGTTTTCTGTGACTTGGAGCTGTTCAAGTCGTTGGTAGCACTCTGTATGCTCGCCATCGAGCCGGTGCTAGCGTATTCCTCCACAGCTCTGTACATGTGAGCATGTCTGGTGCCCACGGGAGGTCCTTGCTGTAGGTATTGTTGCTTCTGCTGCTGCTGCTGAAACTGCTGAACAGTGCTGGGCACTTGACTAGCAAGCAGCGTTTGAGTTGCATGTGGTGTATAAAGTTTGACGTCTTCCTTTGGAGATTCATTGCCCACCGAAGCGCCGGATGAAAAAGTCATATCACTTCCGAAGGAGCTTGTAGAAGCCCTACCGAAGTCATTGTAATTGAAGGATATAGAGTCAGTTATATCAGGCGTGTCGCAGAACGCCATCGAGTAGCGATCGTTGAGTTGCTGACTCTTGTGGCTAGACAGAACTTCTTCGCCAGGAAATATATCGCTAGTAATAGAGTCAAGGCTATCTGCTGAGATAACGGACGACAACCTGGATACTTGGTTGAAGCTGAGCATGTCATCGTGCGGGGTGGCTGGCATGGATAGGCCACTGTCACAATCATCTAACTCATTCTTGAGTAGGAATCCACCATCATAACTGTCTAGGGAGCCCATACCGGATGGTATAGGTGCGAAGAGAAGCTCTTCATTGCTGGTACTAGCAGTTGAAAGCTGTTGGCGCAAGATAGAGGTTTGCGTACTTAGGTCTTGATCCAAAATCGATTGTTGGCTATCAAAAGAATCTAAGTTGAGCAGATCCAGGTTCTCTGGATGTAATTCATATTCGACGATTTCCGGACCGAGTTTGCTCGATGGCAAGGTCTTCAGTGATCCCATCTGAGAGCCCATCCAGTCTGAATTGGCATACGGATTAAACTCTGCAGTTATCGGCGATGGATCAACGTTCAAATCACTCTGAAAAAGAGACAAATTTGAATGTTAGAATTATATGATCCAAAACAACTACTGTTGACATCACACATATACTAGAAATATACGTCCAGTACAAGGCAGGCGACACTCATTGATCTTCAGACTCTCGAACGTGAGCGTGCACGAGAATTGAGAAAACTTCATGCCGTTTACGAACTTCAAGAACGCCACATATACATTATATGTGCATGATATTGGCGACAGAGTAAATTCAAGTCGCGTCATATACGAAACTGATGCCAGTCCTCCCTCCGATCAATCAAGTATGGTTGCGAATGTATCCCATTCTGAAATTTGCAAAGCTAGGCGCACCGAAGACATACCCCATATTGTGAACTTAGGCTGTCGAATTCGCATCCGCCGAAGTCAAAAACTGTCGACATGATGAAAAGACGAAGGGGTCGGAAGCTTGTGTTTGGTGAGGTATGTTTTTAAGATCTAATGAGTGTCAGTGTGCTGACGGCAGAGAAAAGCTTCAATTCTTTGAAGGCTTAGGAATAGCTGAAGAGCCACAGTGGACCAAGCGACGTCGGAGAGGTGATATTCACGAGGACCGGGGTACAGGATCTGGAATTGGTATGAATTGTTTTATGGATATGATATTTTTTAACAAGGTACAGTCTCAGCAAGAAAGGCGAGTTGTGGCAAGGACTGGTGCGAAATAATCGAATATATAGTGCTCTAAGATTTGGAGCTGGCTTTTTCTCTTCGCAGTTCCCGAAAGCAGTGATCAGTTCTCAGTTTTGCGGTCTTTTTTTCCCACCAACGAAGTTCATATTTTTTGCAGAAAATAAAGAAAAAATATTCCTTCTGAGGACTTACTCTCGCGGGGGTTGGTTCATTTCAAAAAATAGAAATAAATATACTAATTATATGTAGACACCTTTTCATTACGTATTCGACTATTCGGAAAAGAGAACGATATTTGGAGAAAAGCAGATTCGTGTTGATTGGCTGCTGCTTCTCGACGGAGCAAACTGCTCCTGATCGTACGGATAACAATACACTTGTGAAAAAATCCTGTGTTTATTGCTGCTTGGCTATTCGGGCGCCACTCAGAGTCTCAGACAGTCAGCGGCTCACTGCCCTCAGACAGCTACTAAATTTTTTGTAACTTTTATAAAAGCAGACCTCGAGACTCGAGAGTGGCAGAGAGTGCACACTGCACAGCGCAGTAGTGCACACTGACACTGACACTATAGTCTATAGAGCATGTTGCTCCGTAACTCCGACTAGTATTATTGCCCCCAAATATATGGCAAGCCAAGTAAAATATATTTATACGGTCGAATACAGTAGTGGCAATAGATTTCAGAGTATTTTAATATAAGCAATGTATTGGTTCTTTAAAGTCCATTTTAACCGGGAAGGGTTTTGTGTACTCGGGTCTCACATTCTCAATTTATCACGCGACGGGTCGATCTGTCGATGACTGTGTAAAATATCCCGTGGATTTACCAGAAAATGAACGACATAGTCTTGGACTCCTGTCACTTGTGTGTATATCTCTTGTGGTCATTGTCCAGATCATTGAAGGTGTTAAAATTTATGAATCTCTCGTGCCGGTGCGTGACCTGGAGACCATCCAGACGAGGGTAAAACAATCCAATCAATTTCAATTGATCCACTCTTATTCGAACACCAAAGCTGTAAACGGCAACTACGCATTGTTAGCATAACGCAACCTTTACAAATTTACATCATGTCAGTCTGTCGAAGACTCAAAGATCCGGTAAGACTTACGAGATCATGTAAACACTAAACACAGTGTACAGTTCATCTCAATTATATTTCTAAAAGGTATCACAGATTCCATTTCTCAACCACGCGGCACAATCTGTCTTCTGTTCGCACTTGAGCAAATTTGGAACCTACAACATATGTGAATCCATGAAGGTACATATATATATACATATACATACATATATATACATATACATACATATATATACATATATATACATATATATACATATATATACATATATATACTTATATAC